AAAAAGAAAGGATTAAATTCTCCAAATGAACACAGGCTGATTTTCATTCTAGGTAACATGTTTTTGTGGGTAATGCTTTTCATTTACTTACATTTTTTAAATTACAAAAACAAAAGTAATTCCAGTTTAAAAATCTGGGTTATTTTATTTAACCTGTAGAGGTGGATGAAAACTATGTTAGTGAATAAGTTAGATCTGAGCTTCTCTGGCCTTTGGCAAATAAGGTGGTTTCATGGTAACTGAAATGTAAATTGTCATTTCTTTCTCAATTATCTTTACAAAGCTAAGGCATTTTTTTCTGTTCTGAAAAAGACCACTTTTCTTAGTCATCCTCCATTTTCACCCATTCCTTCTGGAAAGATATTGATTGAATTTAAGCTTGGAAGTTGCTAGAACTGCAGTGAAGCCAGTAAGTGCTGACCATGAAAGTGTTTGATTTTCTAACATTAAACTACCACAGGGTGGTATGAAGACGCCAAAAAAGCCTACTGTTGATTGGAGAAATATTAAATGTGAACCAAAATAATTGGTAATGCTAAAATATTTGTTTCTAACTGGCCTATTAGAATATGAAAAGATACACAGTCCTTAGGAGCAGGGATAGAGACTTTAGACACGAATGAGATGGCCCAGTTCTCTCAATTTCTCCACATGAATGCATCGCTCAGGCTTTCTCGGGAATGGTCCTGTCAGCAGCAACATCTTTGGTAGAAATGAGAGGAAAATAAATTCACAAAGGTCCTCATGATCCAAGGTAACGTCTCCAAAAAAGATCATCCAATGTGGCAAAATAGTAACCCAGATGTCTCTAGATTTGGTTGTTCATGCTGAGTTCATGCTGTTGTTTGTGGTGTTGGTTGAGCGCTTTTTATTTTTTGAGTGTCAGAACACCACACAACCACGCTGGGCATAAAAAAAAAGATGGGGCCTTCCATGTAAAGGAGAGGATGGCTGTTGAGGTTGCCATGACTGGGCTGGACTGGCAATCATCATTGAAGGTCCAGAGTTTATTCTCACAGTTTACCAAGATCTCACTAAACACCTTAAGAAATATGCTTTTTAAGAAGTCTGTGCCAGCATAATTAACGTTCAAGGCATGAAAGGGAAAGGCCCTTTAGAATTTACATAGATGCCTCTGTCAGCGAGAGAGAAGCTGGTCTCCTAGGCACTGAGCGTCTTCCCTTGGTCCATGAAGAAAGAACAAGGACCAAATTTCAGTTATTAAAATCTTGTTATTTCCGCCAAGTAGAACCTGTATCCCACTTGTCATTCCGGTGGCTTCTGTTTGGCCTTATAGTTAGTTCTCCCTTCACCAGCCTTTTCTAATTCGCCTATCACCTAGTTCTTGCTCCTTCCAGAGGTCTTTTGGGCTGAGAGAAACCACATTCTGCTTCCTGCAGCAAAAGCACAAATCTCTTATCTGGCTGAGCCACAGGCCCTCAGAACCGAGGTAACTTAAACACTGACATTCTTTCCCAGGCTCCTCATCAGTAAGGCACTATCTTCTCAGTGCATGAGTCCTGGAAACAGTGTAAGAGGCGGCTGATAAGTGAGTGTTAGTAACTTGAAAGTAATGAAGCCAGACATTACCAGTGCTTTGCTTTTATTTACATGATCAGTTTTCTTATCCAGATTTTACATGGGACAGAACAATTCATTCCAAAGCCCAAGTCATTCCATTGCTGTATTTTTCTGGTGATGCTTTATTTAAAGACCTGGTTTCTTTCCTATTGGTCGTAATCCCAAGCATGCCCAAATAAAACATGCCTGTTCCTCTCCCTGCAGTTGGCTCCGAAAACCCACCGTTACCGGTAATCCGCAAATTTGTGCACCTATTGGACCAAAGTGACTTGGACTTCCAGGAGGAGCTGGAGGTCGCACGATTGAGGGGAGAAGTGGTGACCAAGATCAGGGGCAATCAGCAGCTGGAGAAAGACCTGAACCTGATGGACATCAAGATTGGGCTCCTGGTGAAAAACAGGATCACACTGGAGGTCGGTAGGGGCTGTGGGACTGCCGGCTCCCAGAAGAGGGGAGATGCCTGTGTGCTGGTCCACAGCACTCTGGTCCGGATGAGCTCAGGTGGAATCCAGAATGAGTAGTTCAGAGCTCAGTTCCACTTGCATTACAGAGTAGTGGTTCTCAGACTGCGAAAGTCTCCTGCCCCCTTTATAGCATTTCGTCAGGCTCCTTGACCAGTCGGAAATGAAAATTCTATGAAATTAAACCTACTTACATGTATGTACCTTCATAACAAGACTAAGGCCTTTATATAAGTAAAAGAGATAAATAAGAAGAAAGTAATTTACAACTAACATACATATTTCCAAACGAAAGCACACAGGCCCGATGCTGTTAGGAGATGTGATGGCGTGGCTGGAGGCTGGGGCCTCTTCCCAGAATAACCGCAGAGGGAGCTGCAGAGGAGCCTGGCCCACGGGGTGGTGGGGCTTTCGTTTTCCAAAATGGACATCAACTCTGCAAAGTTCAGAATAGGCAGAGTGTCTACGTAGAATTCTGGTCCTAGAAAATTAGGTGTATGTTAAAATTGTGGAGGGTGTGTGTTGTGCTTATATGTCAAACAATTAGGTTCTAGGCTCCAATCATTACCCGGAGAATGTTTGCCTGTGAATGACTGGCCAGCAGCACATTCAGACTCCAGCCATGCCGGATGTGGGACAGTTATCTACGCAGAACAGCAGGGCACCTGTCACCCCTCACCCACACCTGCTAGAAGCCTATCGTGCTTTCCAATCGTTAAGTTATTAAAACATTTTTTTACACATTTCCAGAATGGTCCCTACAGAGTGGAACTGCCCAATCATAGACTCTCTGTGCTTTCGGGTCTGTGTGAAATAGGACCGTGTCAGAGCTCCTGGAAACAGTGAAAAACTGTGTCCCTGCTTCTGTGCCACATCCGTTTCCAGAGAACTGACAGGACCTTCCTGAAGCTCTGAGCAGGCTGCCCTGGGGCGGGTGGGGAGCTGGCTGCAGGGCCGAATATGTGCTTCTGGAAAAGTGGGAGGCAAGCAGCCATGGGAGCTACAGGCTCATCGAGATAACAATGAAATAAATAGTTGAAGAGGAAATAAGGAAACTAGATTTAATGTTCTTCATTTAACTCTATTTTCATTATTTTACCCAGAAAATCAGCAATACTGTTTTTCTTATGAAATGTTTATATTGTCTGACGTAAATGAGAACTTCTAAAGTGTCATATAATCCAGAAGGTCTGTCGGAGAATGCCTTTTTTAGCCATGAAGTTGTAAACAGGAAGTGCCTTCCCAAAAAAAGACTTACTTACAAAACAGAAAACAGTAGGGGTAATATGTAGTTGTGGAAATACAATCATAACAGATTGTCAGATCTTCATGAATGTTTTAAGTTTTTTTAAGTATTTCTAATTGATAAAGTTAATTTTTCAGCTTGCGTTTTCAAACAGTATTTATCAAACACTTATTAGAAGTTAAACTAATGATTATTGAATATGTAGTCGTTGGCCTTATCACTGTGATAGCATGTTTAGTGTTGATGACATTCAGAATAGTGCAGTTGAAGCATGGTTATAGTGGTGAAGCAGTGAGGAAACAACCTAACACAAATAGAATTTGTTTAACATGCATGTTATGCAATGCCTAAAAATAATTTTTTTGAAGAACATTTAAGGGCAGGGGGAACAGTTCACAATATAATGGGGCGGGGGGGGGAAATAGTACCCAAAACAGGACAATTTCATTTATTGTACTATATTTTATATTTCAGAAAAGCTAAAAGAACAAAAGTTAAGTGATTTTTCTTTGGATGATAGAACTAAACTTACCTTCTTTATCTTTTTTTAACACTGAGCATGTTTTTAGTGAGAAGAAAAGATTGTAAAGGGAAGTAGACTAGTTCTTATAGAGCAACTCCAGCTCTCCTAGTAACAATGTGTCTTACAATACTTTTAAAATTTGCATTCCTCCTAGAAGTCTGAAAAAGTCATATTTCGTATTATCACAAAATTGTGCAACTATCTAATGCTAGAACATTTTTATCACCCCATAAAGAAACCCCAAAGAAAATGTTCAGGAATTAGATAGTATTGATGGTTGCACAACGTTGTGAATGTACTAAACACCACTGAATTGTACACTTGAAAAGGATGAATTTATAAAGCATGTGAATAATATTTCAATTCAAAAAACAAAAGAAAGAATACCCATATTCATTCACTGTCACTACCTATTATTCCCTTCCCCAGCCACACAACCAATAATCTGCTTTTTGTCTCTATAAATGTGCCTGTTCTGGATATTTCATATTAATGGAATCACACAATATGTGGTCCATTGTGACCAGCTCTTTCATTTAGCGTAGTGTTTTTGAACTTCACCTATGTTGTAGCATGAGTCAATATTTCATTTCTTTTTCTTTATGAATAACATTTCATTGTTATATACCACATTTTATTTATCCATCCATCAATTGATGGACATTTGAGTTGTTTCTTCTTTTTCACTATTATGAATAATTCTGCCAAAAGCATTCATGTACATGTTTTGTGTGGACATATGTTTTCAGTTCTCTTGGGTATATACAGATTTTCAACCTTTTTCATCTCATGGCATACATAATTACTAAAAGTCTGTAGCACACCAAAAAAAAACATCTTTTTTGCCCATATGACCAGAATATAAGTATAATTTTTTTTTAAATATGATGCCTCCTGCACATCTCCCACTGGGGACGTGCCCGCAACCCAGGTACATGCCCTTGGCCGGAATCGAACCTGGGACCTTTCAGTCCGCAGGCCGATGCTCTATCCACTGAGCCAAACCGGTTTCGGCAAGAATATAAGTATAATTTTGATTCATTCACACTGAAATAGCTATAGTTGTGTTGGCTATTGTCATTTTTTTTACTTGACAGTCTAAGGGGGAAAAGGTCAGTGCTTCTGGTTAAATAGTCAGGTACTGCATGTTTTAGAAATTCTTGCCACACACCAGTTGAAAATCACTGGTATATACCTAGAGTGAAATTAGTGGGTCATATAAATAACTCTGTGTTTAACTTTTGAGGAACGGTAAACATGTCTTTCTAAGTGGCTGTATATTTTACAATTTTACCAGCACAGTATGAAGTTTTCAATTTATCCATATATCAACATTTGTTACTGTCTTTTCCATTGTAGGCATTCTAATTAGTATGAAGTGGTATCACATTATAGTATTGATATGCATTAATTTCCCTGATAATCATTAATATTGAGCATCTCTTTATGTGTAGATCTTTGTGAAAATGTCTATTGCCATCCTTCGTCCACTTTTGATTGGGGTTTTTGGTCTTTTGCTTTTTTTGAGATGTAAGAGTTCTTTATATATTGTGGATCAAGTCTCTTATTTGATATATGATTTGCAAATATTTTCTCCCATTCTGTGGGTTGTCTTTTTACTTTATTGATGGTGTCCTTTGAAGCACAAAGGTTTTAGTTTGTTTGAAGTCCAATTTATTTGTTTTGTCACTAGTGCTTTTGGTGTCATACCTAAGAAACCATTGCCTAATCCAGGGTAACAAAGACTTATACCTAGGTTTTCTTTCAAGAGTTTTATAGTTTTAGCTCTTACATTTAGTTGCTTGATCTCTTTTGAGTTAGTTTTTGCTTATGGTATGAAGTAGGGGTCTGACTTCTTTCTTTTGAATGTGCCCATCCAGTTGTCCCACCATCATTTGTTGAAAAGACAATTTTTTCCTTATTGAATTGTCTTGGTGCCTACCTTAACGCTTAAGAGCAAATAAGTGAAACTTTGGAGAATAAATATTACAAGAGCCAAGTTCACCTGCAAGCTGGATTTCGTTAATTTGTTTAACATTCTCTATTCCCTTGTTTCTTCATAAGGGAAACATGGAAAATTAATCTTTTCAACTATGGGTGTGTCTGGTGTATGTGATGGGAAGAGGTAAAGAGTATCAAAGTATAAAAATATTTTTATAAAAATTTTTTCCAGGATGTAATTTCACACAGAACGAAGCTGAATAAGAAAAAAGGTGGAGAAATGCAAATACTGAATAACACTGACAACCAAGGAATCAAAAGTTTGAGTAAGGAGCGGAGAAAAACACTAGAAACATATCAGCAGCTGTTTTATCTTTTACAGGTGAGAACAGTTACTTTCACTACTAGAGGCCCAGTGCACGAATTCATGCACCAGTGGGGTCCCCGGCCTGCCTGAGGGATCGGGCTGAAACTGGCTCTCCGACATCCCCTGAGGGGTCCCAGATTGTGAGAGGGCACAGGCCAGGCTGAGGGACCCCACTGATGCACTATTAGGACCAGGGAAGGACGCGAGGTTGGCCAGCCAGAGAGGGGCTGTGGGAGGGCTCCAGGGTGTGCTGGCCCAGCTCGCTCAGTCCCAATTGGCCAGACCCCAGCAGCAAGCTAACCTACCGGTCGGAGCGTCTGCCCCCCGGTGGTCAGTGCACGTCATAGCAAGCGGTTGAGCTGCCTTGGCATATCATTAGCATATTATGCTTTGATTGGTTGAACGGCCAACCGGATGGCCAGACACTTAGCATATTAGGCTTTTATTATATAGGATGAGTTTTGGGTAGATACTGTGTTCTATGTTTGTGGTTTACAGTGGATCTTTCCCCATGCTAAAACTGGAATAGAGTTTAATCTTATATGCTTTGAAAACCTAAGTACCAAGTACCATTCTAGGTTCTTTACATACATTATCTCTTTCAATTCTTACTGCAACCTTAGAAACCATTAGGAAGTAATTGCTGTTGTTTTTCCTAAATTACATATGAGAAAACTGAGAGAGCCAGTAAGTGGTAAAACAAGGGCTTTGGGACCCAAGTAGTTTGTTTTCAGAGCCCATTAGCTTCATGACTATCTTATACTACAGTTATCTGCAGAAACGTAATAAATCTGATAATATAAGCAGATGCTGATAACCATGAAAAAATTAACTATCTGAAAAACAGGTGTTTACCAGAATCAGTCTGCCCTTCTTCTGAGCAAAGAGCCAAAGAGTTTGGATTAGGGAAATAGTGTATCTTTTATTTCATTGATTTCATGGCATACCTCTGATCTGAATGAATGGTAATTCTCCATTGCTTCCAGAGTGCGGGTGTGAGCTGATAAGCTGAATTGGTTATGGTTGGACTCTGGTGGACCAGTTGCTGTTTTATTTGACCATTGATTCAGCTTATCTGCCCGACCACAAGGTGCTAAAGGAAACTGAGTAAGCGACAGTGATAGATGTAAACAAAGCCTCCCCTTCAGCAG